GCAGGAGCTGGGGAGGTGAACCATTTGCGGCACAGCTTGCCGCGCTGCGCTCGCAAACCATCGCAGGCATGCGAGCAGCACGGCCGAAGCCATGGGCGCGGGCCGGCCCCCCGGAGGAACTTTTCAACGCGGGCCTCAGCCTTGAGCGAGTAGGCTTCTTGAGCCAAAATGGCTTGAGCCAAAATGGCTACGGCTGAGTCATGCGCTTGAGCGGGGCGCAGCGGCGCGCCCCCCTGTTGATCCTCCCGTCGCCGCGGCTGTTGGAGGGGCGCCCACCCAGGCTGCCCGCTCTACCAACCCGCCTTCGCCGCCAGCACGGCGCTCTGGCAGTCCGTGCTGCCGGGGCAGGTGGACGTGGCCGACGGGGGCGCGGACGTGGACGCCCCACCCCTGCGACGACCGGCACGCGTCGTGCACAAACCACCGCAGCCGCAGAAGCTGGTCTGAGGCTGGGTCTCGAAGCCCTCGAGATGGCAAGCCACTTGCCGTGAGCGCGTCCTCACGTTGCAAACCGCCCCTAAACACGTGTCCGCGGGAGTTTGGGCACTGCCCTGCGAGCAGAGCTCCGGCTCGCTGTGCATCCGTCCTGCCCTCATGATGAAGTACGTGGCTGTAAGCTTTTCTGCCTCGCACCCCGCATGCTGCTCTACCGATCGCCAGGCGAATCCCGAGTTCCTACTGCCGAGCTGGATCGGCGCTGCGATCCCTTCTGCGCAGGGCGATGGGTCGACCTGCTGCGCGAGGCCGCCGCCGCTGTCTCCACCACGCCCAGCTCACGGCCAGACCCCGCCGGCAAGGCCGCACGCGCGCGCCGCGCGACAGCTCTTGTCCACCTTGGAGAGCTGTCCGCTGCAGCGCGCGCCATGACAGCGAACCACTCGCTGCCGGCAGCAGCGACACACTCGCAGAGCTCCGCGATCCGCACCGGTGACCGCAGGAGCCTTATGCGCCTTTGCCGCAGGTCGCACTGCGACATGAACCCGATCAACCATGCCCCCTGCCCCAGCAAGCTTTCCTCGACAGTTTGCGGAGCGCTCGTCGGGGCTCCGCAGCCGGACCGCCTGGCGCTACCAACGAGCACATACGTGTCTTGCTCGACGACGAAGAGGACGCCCGCTTGCTGCATGGCACCGCCCTCCGGCTAGCCAATGCGGAAGTGCCTCCGGCCGTGCTTGACGGCATCCGCGTCGCGAGGCTTGTCGCGCTGCGCAAGCCAAACGGCACTTCCAGAAGGCTTGCATGCCCCACCAGTGCACCGCACGGAGGCAGCTCCGTGCGGCCACGGAGGCATGCCCCCGCGCAACTGTCCTTTCCGTCGATGCCGTTGGTGCCTTTGACCACGTTTCGTAGACGCCCTGCTTTCCCACCGGGAGCTGCAACCTTTGCTGCCCTATGCACGGCATTTCTATGCCGCGCCTAGCGTCTACTCCTGGTTCGACGATGATGGCCGCGAGCATGAAGTTTGTCAGGCTCAGGGCGGCGAGCAAAGCGACCCGTTGATGCCTGCATTTTACGCCCTGGCGCAGCACGCTGCGCTCGCGGACCTGCAGAACCAGCTCCTAGACGGTGAAGCCATTTTCGCCTTCCTTGACGACGTTTACCCGAGCGCGTCCGCACGCTTTACGATGCCCTCGCAGCCGCCCTGTGGCACCGTGCGCGGATTCGGCAAAACACGGATCTGGAACCCCGCCGGCGAGGAACCAAGCCACATCGCCGACCTGAGTGGAAATGACGGCGCCGAGCCAGTCTGGGTCGGGGACTGGTCTCTCCAAGGGATCACCGTGCCCCCTCGGGCACGACGCTTTTGTCGCCAGGCACCTGCAGCGCAAACGCGAGACCACGACCGACTTCTCCGGCGTCTTCCTGGGCTCGACGACTTGCAGGTCGCTTGGCTGTTGCTACAGTCCTGCGCCGCCCCGCGTGCCAACTACCTGCTGCGCATCTTGCCCCCCGACCTCACCGCCACTTATGCAGCAGCACACGATGCAGCCATCGCCCACTGCCTGGCCACACTCCTCGAGCACGAAGCCGCCCCCCGGCCGGATCACAGCCTCCGCACTGCCCAGCTCGCGCAGCGGTTCGGGGGTCTTGGCCTACGCTCTGCCACCTCCCATCGCTTTGCCGCGCATTGGGCCTCTTGGTGCGACACCTTGCCCGTCATCCATGCCCGTGCCCCGGCTGCGGCGGACCGGCTGTTTGGTGCCCTCCGCGGCGACAGCGCCCTCCCCTCGACCGCAGCCACCGTCCTTGCGCAGGCGCATCTGCGCGCTCTCGGCTGTGACATTCCTGACTGGGCAGCCGTATGCGCCGGCACTGCTGCCGCACCACCCCCCCCCAGCGCGTTGGAGAATCAAAAGCCTCCCGCGATCCTTGGCCTTTCAAGGGTTGACAGCGCCTCGCTGCCCGCGCCTGCGATGAGCGCGCCTGTGAGACGCACCTTACTGACCTCACACCCATGTCTCGAGCTCTGCTGCTGTCGCAGGCCGGGCCCTTCGCCGCCCGAGCCTTGAATGTCCTTCCCATTCGCGACGAGATCTCCATACCCAGCGCGCAGTTCCGGGTCCTCCTGCTGCGCCGCCTGCGGCTTCCCCTCCCCCTTTCGCCGCGCCGATGCCGCTGTCATGGTGAGCTTGATCCGCTCGGCGACCACCGCTCCGCCTGTGCTACCTCGGATGTCCTCGCCACGCGCGCGCTGCCCCTTGAGCATGCCGTCGCGCGAGTCTGTCGTGAGGCCGGTGCCCGTGTCGCCCGCCACATCCGGCTTGCGGACATGAACCTCGATGTGCCGGTCTCGGACGAACGGCGCATTGAGGTCGTCGCCAACGGCCTCCCTTTATGGCATGGCTCACAGCTCGCCCTTGACGCCACCGTCTTCTGCCCCGTCACACGGCGCGGCGAGCCCCACGCGCTGCCGCCTGGTTGTCGTTGGGCTTGAGGTTGGCGGCAGGTTCGGTGCCGAGACCGTAGCCTCCTCGCACGACACCGGGCCGCCGCCGTCCCTGCGCACTTGCGGCCCTCCGCAACTGTCGCCTGGATCTCGCGCTGGTCGAAGCTCTTGGCTGTCGCCTCCCAGCGCGCCTACGCGGCCTTACTCCTCGAGCTGCCGCCTGCCGCCGAGCTCGGCGAGGGACCCGTACCAGAGCTGCACGAGGTCTTGGCCGACTCTCGCGGCAACCAGCAGTTGGCAGCAAGTGGCTAATTGTAGACGGAGCTGGGACTCCTCTCGCAGTCGCAGAAAGGCGCGGGAAAAAAACAGTAGCGGCAGTAGTTGTAGTTGTAGTTGTAGTTGTAGTTGTAGTTGTAGTTGTAGTTGTAGTTGTAGTTGCAGTTGTAGTTGCTGTTGTAGTGGTTGTTGTAGTTGTAGTTGTAGTAGTTGTAGTAGTAGTTGTTGTTGTTGTTGTTGTAGTTCCTGTTGTTGTTGCAGTAGCAGTCGCAGTAGAGGTAGTTGCAGGAGTATTTGAGTTAGTAGTTACCAGAAGTAGTATGTAGTATGTAATAATCGTCGTCGTCGTAGTGATAGTGGCAGTGGCAGTGCTTGTGCTAGTAGTAGCACTAGCAGTAGCGTTAGTAGTAGGAGTAGTAGTAGTAGTAGTAGTAGTAGTAGTGCGAGAAGAAGTAGTAGTAATAATAATAATACTAGTACTAGTACTAGTACTAGTACTAGTACTAGTACTAGTAATAGTAATAGCAGTAGTAATAGCAGTGGCAGGGGGAGAAGTATGAGCAGCTGGTGTGCGTGCATGTGATTGTGCATGCTTGCACGCAAGTTGCGGCCAAGGGCGGGGACCTTGCCACTGCCTTAGATTCCGGCGCGTCACTGGTGCTGCAGATATGCACTTTGGGCACATTTCTGGCGAGGTCGTTCGAACTCAACAAGCGCTTGATTGATCCGCTTGTCTTGTCTGAGACGACGGCTGCTGCAACCGGGCGTTGATAGAGTTGCAAATGCAGAATTCTTGGAGATCTTAGTTTCAGATATGCCAACTTGCTGCAGCTGTGCTTTAAGGCAAGCTTATCCCTGGGCTCCAATGCAACAGACAAGTTTAACCAGATGTGGGTGGAGGACGGTTCAAGTGAGTGACCACCCGCCTTGGTCAGCATAATCTTCTTTTCACGGCGCTGGCAGGTTGCCCACCTGCGGAACACAACGCATCTTGCCATAATGCCATGGATATGAATGACTATGCGGCTGAATATGCGCTCTGGCCTGCCGAGGAACGTGACCAATGCGACCATGGTGCAGAAACTTTCCAGCAAATGCAGACGTAACGGCAAATTCGTGGAGTGACATAGTAATTGCTTTTGTTCGCAATGCCTCAGTTGACACCCCTCAGGAAAATGCAGGAAATTGGCACGCTTCTTCCACAGCTTCCTATTCGTCCTCTAATGCCTGGGGACAGCGCCGGGTTTGTTGGGGGAGATCCCTTCTGACCGTCTTGAAACATTCCAAGTTGACCTGGCTGCGTCTGCAATGGAACAAGATCGCAGTCTAGTTGCTCTAGTTGCTGCAGGACTGCGACGAGAAGCTGAAGAGCGCCGAGTGCGTCGGCATGACGCTGCAGGGCAGCTGCCTGTGCTACGCCAGTGTGGACCCCCACATGCAGGCTGTCGAAGTTTGTGCCCAGACCGTTCTTTGTCCGCTGCCAACTGTTGTGCAGGTCGTCAGCGAAGCGGAGATTGTCGTGTGAGTTCGGTCAGCGGTGCCCCTGAGGTGAGAAGCTTGTTTTCACCCAGGTGCACAGTGTACAGTTTGCGCACCTCTGAGAACCAGATCGTTTAATAAGCCTCACAGAAAAGTACATGCTGAGTTGCGCCGAGACAACCAATGGTGTTCTTGCCTGAGCCGTAAGCTCTGCAAGGCAACGAAGTGAAGAGGCGAACGAGTTCAGCACGGAGCTCGATTGACAATCATTGCTGACGTCAACAAGCAGAGCAGAACATCACAGGAATGTCGCTGTGCTGCGGTCGTTCGAGGCCTCGAGCTGAAGAAGCTGCGTGGCAACTTGCAGGACTCCGCCAAGACAGAAATCTTTACGCGAAAGTCGGGCTGCAGCATAGGGTGCTAGTGTTTGGAATGAAGGCCTGATCTTTTCCCGGCCTGGTCAACATGGTTTTCATGTGGGTGTGATGCAACTTCATACCAGGGAGGACGAGAACTAGCTTTCTATTGAAGCTGCCAGGACTTTGCGTCAGCTGCCCAGCAGCGCATTGCGGAAGAGGCAGGGTGTGGCCAAGGGTTCGGACTGCGCATAATTATCTTGCAGACAGACGGTGGCAGAGGTCTCGCACCTGACTAGCGAGATGATGGCTATCCGCGATGGCATTTCGAGCGAGTTACAGGCCCTCCCAGACAGATGCTAGGGGAGACGACATGAGGCGACCGTCAATCTGTTGCTTTCCACAAGCAGAGCCATACAGCCTGCAGGATTGAATTCTGAGTCGTTCTTTGGTAAGGGTTGGCATGAAATGCTCAGACCACACGAGCAGAACTTGGCCCCACGTTTTGGCACGGAAGGTGCTTCGCGAAACACAAGCATCAGACACCACGAAGCTGCAGCGTGGCTGAAGCCTAGAGGCCTGGAGATTCCGAAATAGCCCTCGCTATTTGTGGCTTAGGCGAGACTTTGTGGATGCGAGCAGCTGGAAGCTGTCCGAAGCCCAGATCATCAGCCCTTCGTCTCGCGAAGTGGCTTGCAATTGTCGTGCACTTGCAAGGCGTGATCAGCAATCGGCAGAGACAGGAAAGCTGAAGGAAGGCTTCCAGAGTGAGATGAAGTGATTTGGCTGCAACGGAGTGCGTTCATTGGGAGAGAAAGAGAGCGAGACACTTAGGGTCGGATCCGGAGCCGAAGTTCCTTCAGAGGGGTTTGAGGCAGAAAATGGCCGAAAGCCTGCAAACAGTGTAGAGGCTGGAGGTGAGGCGAAGGGTTGCCCAAGTCATTTTCCTAGCACCTATCATGGGCAAAGCTATAAGGCTATCAGTCCTGTTTCTGAGTTTTCGAGCATGACAGCAAGCTATGTTCCTCTACTCCTGCAGTTACAACCACCCTTCCGCATCTACAAAGACAACGACGACTAGACTAGCACTGAATACTACTACACCATCCTTTGACAGACGACGACAACTGCTACTGATGATGCTGCTACTCCCTCTTCCTCTTCCTACTACGCACTGCGACCACTCTAGCAACAAGCTACTGGCAGCAGTTCGTAGCTACAAACCACAAACTACAAGCAATTCTGCTACTACTGGTGCTGATACTGCTGCTACCTCTACTATTCCTCCTGCTGCTGCTGCTACTACCACTTCTGCTACTAGTACTACTACTACTACTACTACTACTACTACTACCACCACTACCACTACCACTACCACTACTACTACTACTACTACTACTACTACTACTACTACTGCTTGTACTAGTACTGCAACTGCTACTGCCAATGCCAGTGCGATAGCAGCCGCTACTTTTTTAACACAGTGGAACTACTAGCGTGATGTAGTACGTTTCACTACCTCTCGCGACGACAGCGACCTCACTCTGTAATGACGAAGACGGCTCAGGCATAGCTTTGCCAACAAATGTGGCACGCTAAGGTCTCTACGAGATGAGCTTTCTCGAGCTTCCTTGATGGCAGAAGTAGCAGTGGTAGTAGATGTGGTCGTCGCCGTAGTAGTAGCAGCAGCAGTAACCGTAGTAGCCGTAGCAGTAGCAGTAACAGTAGCAGCAGCCGTGCTTCAGCCGGGGCAGCAGCAGTAGCACCAGCAGCAGCAGCAGTGGCAGCAGCTGCAGCAGGAGTAGTAGTAGCAGTAGTAGTAGCAGTAGTAGTAGTAGTCGTCGTCGTCGTGGTGGTGGTGGTAGTAGTAGTTGTTGTTGTTGTTGTGGTAGTAGTGGTAGTAGTAGTAGTAGTAGTAGTAGTAGTTTTTCTAAAACACGAGTAACCATAGAAAGAGCAGTAAGAGTAGTGACGGGTAGTAAGAGTAGCAAGAGTGTGAGTAGCGGCAGCAGTGGCAATTACGTTGTTATTGTTGTTGCTGCGGTGATTGGTGGCAGTGGTTCTGGTGTTGCTGTTGTTGTTGTTGTTGTTGTTGCTGCTGCCCTTGCTGTTGTTGGACGGTGGTGTCGTTCTCGTTGTCAGCGTTATGCTATGGTGATTGTTTGATTGTTGTTGCCGCTGGAGTTGATTGTCGTTGCCGTTATTGATCTGTTTGTTGTTTCTGTCGCTGTTGCTGTTGCTGTTGCTGCTGCTTCTGCTGCCACTGCTGCTGCTGCTGCCACGGAGGCGGCTGCTGCTGCTGCTGCAGCACTTGCCGGCGTGGTTGTGGTTGTTGTTGTTGTTGATGTTGCTGCTGCTTTTGCTGTTGATGCTCTTTTTGTGTGTGTGTGTATGTGTGTGTGTGTGTTGTGTGTGTGTGTTTGTGTGTTTGTGTGTTTGTGTGTTTGTGTGTTTGTGTGTGTGTGTGAACCTCCCTAGCACATGGGGGCAGAGGGTCACTCCTACGCAGTTTCATGGGGTTGCAGGGGGGCGGAGGGAGTG